TGCAACCCCCAAGAATTACTTCTCGACTTTAGGGATTCATTTAGCATTCCCGATTCGTCCAGCTGCTTTCCTAAATAAATTGTTCAGAATCTATCAACCTCCTCCGAAGCCTAGCTAAAATAAACTAAAATTTTCTATGGTTTTTAAAGCACACGTAGCATGATAGGAGTATGCGTACCAATGGAACGAAGGTCTTGGAGGTGTTGGCGCATGGAGGAATCTTCTTTAATGAACAAATCAAGGGGCTCAGATCTTTTGTGAGGCTCTGCGGCGACAAATAGTGCTTCGAGGAGGCGATCAGCTCCGAGGTGGATGTCGGCAATGAGCCGAGCGGCATGGCTCAGCCTCTCCATCGCCAGCGCCACCAGCTTTGGCGGCGCCTCCATGGTGGTCGAGGGAGGGGTTGAAACCACTGCCGGGGTCTGGTGTTGCAGTTGGTGCTGCATTAGGGTTTCAAATTGGAAGACGAAAGCTAGTTTTTGAAGGATTGCAGATCGTGTGGGAACTAGAGATCGAATGGAAAGGAAAGAGATGACTTCCAGCTACAGAGGACAGCGGGCGGGTTCGGGTTCTGCTTGGGACTTTGGGCACGCTAGTTTAGAAATAATCGAGGGCAAAGCCGAAACATGTGCGGGCTGCGTTAGACTCAAGACTGGGTTAACGGTTAGCCCAAACTGAATACAACGTTTTTTTGTTTTCTTGTCTTACATTTAAAATACCATAATGTCAATAAAATTATTCAAATACTCTATAATAAATTTTCTTTTCCTATCAATATTCCTTTCTGTGAAAAATCTTCGGATCCCTTTAATTAAAATTATTTAAATATTTTTTACATGATTATTTTACAATATAAAAATTTAAATCTTTTACTTTAATCTCAAATTAAAAATTTTAAATTAATAAATATTAACTCCACTAAACTCTTAATAATTTTAAATATTCTTAAAAAACACACTCAAAGAGAAGTTTATTAATTTGGATAGAAGTCTTGATAATTTAACCACATAAATTCTTAATATTATTTAATTATTTTCAAAATATATATTTTTTTGTCATTCAACACAAACATCATTCATTCAAACAGTTGCACTAGACCTTAATGTTGATGAGGGGGTGTGTTGCCAATTGGCGCAGGAGGGGTCGGCGGTAACTTGCTCAAATTCTCGCTCTCCTCATCTGAGGTTGACGGTGGAGCATAGAAATTAACTTCTGGTAGTTTACCACCCTGCAGCCTCCTGGGGTTACGAGTAAGGACATGAACAACGTTACTAGAAGCAGTTGTAAGTGCAGTACTGCAGGGCTTTGTTTTAGCAGCTGCATCTTTCGGAACAGGCGTCGCTGCTTTTGCTACCCAATTTAATCTAAAAACATCCAAAAGAAAGTTAGAATTCACAATTTAATGTTCTGTATATGTACAGAAACAAAGTATTTTTTGAAACCTTAGTTTTCAGTATGCTGAACTTTCAGGGTAAGAATAGATTTACTCTTAAAAAAATAACAATAAATTATTTTTTTTAAATCATGTTATATATTAAATAATAAATAATTTATTTTAATTAATAATTAAAAAAAGTAATTTATTCTTATTTTACTGTAAGGGACATATCTGTCCTTACCTTCTTATATAGGGGTGGATTTAGAGGTATGAAAAGGTATGAACTTCTAAGACAATATCTAAAAAACAATAAGAACATGAAAAGAGGATTGAATTGGCCAGTTGAATTGGTTGAAAATTTAATTACCTGGTTGGAAGACCAGGACAGAAAGTAATGACGTAATCTGCGCCGATACAGGTGAATGTGCTGGTGCCATCGTCATATGCATAGCTATAAGCTTGAGGGCAGGCGTTCCTGAAGAATTCCGTGTAAATGCTGGGCTTGCAGGTGTCCGGCGACGCGTACGCCCCCCTGCAGCAGTTTTGGGCGTCTCGGAACGCATCACAAGCGCTCTTGCACGCCACCACCGGCACCCCTTCATTACTTCCATCAATAATCTTGAGTTCCACTGGACAATCCTCGTTCAAGTCGGCGGCGCATCCGGTGGACGAGCAGTTCCCTCCGTTCCCACTCTGAGGGACCACCATCATTGGCAGATTATAACCTTGCGCAAGACTGACCTCGTAAAAATCAAGCCCCCCTGCACCGTTTAATGTGAATTTGGCCAGAGTGACAGGAGGAGCACCACCACCACCGGAGCATGCCATAGTGGAAGAGCCGCAATCTCCAGTGAGGCAAGAGAATTCACCAGATGAATCTTGGGTGCAGAGAGTGCGTCCCCATAAACGGCCTGACCAGGATTTTGGAACAGAAAGGGATGTGGATTTCCCTGGCTGGAGAAGAAAACCTGTGGTGGATAGTTCTGGTGTTCCGGCCCCAGAGAGAATCCCCGGCCAAACAGGATAGCTGCACTTGTTCCTGATTGTAAACGTTGATGAATAAACACCTGTACACAATGTAAAATAATTTAAATTATGATTCAAACTCTGCAATAACTATGTTATTGAAACACATGATA